CAACATTGCAGAGGCAGGGCCCATTGTGCAAGCGCACTATGGGGTTCCGGCTTGGGGACACGTGGCTCCTCTTTGTCCTGTTGGATTTCCAATGGCTAGTTTTTTGGGCCGTTGGATTTTCAATGGTAAAAAAAAAATTAAAATTTAAAATTAATGACTACTAACGTGGCACAATGAGGATCATTCGATTTTCAGATCAACGATCCATATTTTTCAACCAAAATTTAAAAAATAAATAAATAAAATGTTAGACATTAATAATATTTTTTTTATAAAGTCAAAAATTAAAAATAAAATAGTTATTTTTTAGGGATAGAGATGCATTTGGTCTATCACTGTTCATTGTAGTCTATCATTGTTCACTGAGTGAATTAAATAGGCTGAGTGCTAGCGTATTTGTTTAGGGATAGACTTACTCGGATTTAGATCCTCTCCTGAGCCCAAGGTGAGGATCCTCCTGAACAATAAATGTGAGTCGTTGGATGAAAATTCAACAGCTATAATTATTATAACTTTAAAGGGACCCCTTGTTTATAATCGTTGGATTTTCATCCAACGGTCCACACTCATTAGTCAAAAGGATCTTCACCTTGAGCTCAGGAGAGGATCCAAATCCGGCTTACTCTAACTACACACTTGGGCCCCACCGCACTTTGTTCCACCATCTGGGCCCACTGCACTTTGTTCCACACTTGGGCCCCACTGCACTTTGTTCCACCATCTGGGCCTACACGACCGACTTCCAGTTGCGTGCACATGCATATGTCAAATTATTACAACTTCAATTGTTGGGGGGTGGGGGGTGGGGGGGTGATTTTCCAATTTTGCCAAATCAGCACGCGTTCATCAGATTTCAGTAATCCAAACTCTCTTCCTTTGCCGATCTTTTATGGGTACGTGGCAATTTTACTAGATAATCTCTCCATTAATTTTCACTATTTTAATTAATTCGGGTTTTGTTTAAGAGTAGGGTTGGAATATGACTCCTAATGTCTAGCGTGTGTGCGCCTAACACATACTAAGGAAGGTGTAGTCAAACTCGGATTTGAAAAAATTTTAAAAGACTTTAAAATCCTAGTGTAATCAATAAAAAGATTTTAAAGGATTTTAAATCCATCTAAATCTAAGTGTGTTAAAAAAAATTAAGATTTTGGAGGATTTTTATAAATTGTGGATTGTGTGAGATTTGAGAGCAAAAAGTATATATAACTAAGATTAAAAAGAATCCAACCTCACCCGTTAGGATTTCAAAATTTCATCAGGGTTTGTTGTTTCTTTATCGAATTCTATACCTTCATGGGTAAGGGGAAAGATTTTTCTTTTTTTTTTTTCAATAAAAAAATTATATGAAAATCCACCACAATCCATCAAAATTTACAAACTAAATCCATTCAAATTTTTAAAATCCATATGAATTTTGTAGGAGTCTTAAATCCTCCTAAATCTTATCAAATCTATCACTTTTAAAATTTTTTAAAATCTTAGTTTGACTACACCCCCTAAATTGCCAATAATATACAAACAATGGTACGAGCTAATAGCAACGTACCTTCCTAATGATTTTTTGTTTACTTAGTTATAATGAGCTAATGAAGGCTTATTTACAACAGTGTCCTAGAAATTCATTCTTGCTCTCATTTTGTATCTTGAAACTCATTTTTTCTCACTTAATCTCCTAAAACTACATTACCTCTCTCATGATGCTCTTATCTTCGTTCATTCTGCCAAATAAACGATATGGTGAAAATTCTTACCTTCTAACGTTGTATGGCGACAATGGTTGTTCGAGCTGGAAGTCGAGGGTGAGAATGATTGTTTGAGGTGGAAGATTATGGTGGTGATGCAATTGGGACTAAGGTGTGGTGGTCAGCGGTCGGTTGTGGGCTCGTGTAGTAGTTGTTGTTGTTTTTTTTTTTTTTTTTTTATACGGAGAAGTTCCAGAGGTGAGGTCGAGAGAGAGATGGAGTCTGAGTCGAGAAAGAGTTTGGGAGGTCTGAGGGTGAGGTCGAGATAGAGAGATAGTGTCAAGTTGAAACGAACGGTTGTGATTTCAACGGTTGAGATTCAATCTCAACCAAATTCAACGATTACTATTAAGTGATTTAAATATAAGATTACATTTAAACATTTTTGGTTCAGTGTTATCGAACAATGGTAAAAGGAAACCGAATACCATACTGAAACTTTTGGTATTGTTCGATTTTTGGTATTTAGAGATTGGTAAAATTCGGTTCGGGTTTTTTCAGATATTTTTTTCCAGCCCTACCGTAGTACATTCATGGGGGGGGGGCACCGTGAGGAAAAAAAAAAAAAAAGGAGTTTTAAGGGGTATTGAAGTGAATAAGCCTAGAGTGGATGAAGTCATGAATCAGAGGGTGGTCAGAAGTAAGCGGAATTGGATCAAATGAAGAAGTCATAAAGTCAAAAATCATATCATTTTCATTATGATTATAATATGTCATGAGTCATCTGGTAGGAATTGAAATGAAATGTTCTTCTTGTGAAACTATGGATTTAAATTATTTATCAAGTTGACTATTTACTTCGTCGTCTCATTACGAGGTTCAGATGCACAATATGATCATATAAGTAGTTGTCCGACAACATAAATCGAATTTCGGTAGCATCCCTCACTAACACAGAAGGGCTCTCATCCATACAATAGACTTACCAACTCAATGCATTTCTTTTTTAAATTATTATTATTAAGGAAAGGGGCAAGGATACGAAACCATTACAATTATTTAAAGGAGAAGAAAGTTTTAAACCTCGGACACACAGATAGAAATCAACACCCTATCTACTAGGATGTTGGACCACATGCTTCGAACTCAATAGATCAAGTCAAGTACTATGTATTCTAGCTTCTGTGTTTTTGTGGCTCTTTTGAAAAAAGAAAAAGAAAACTTATATGACATGAGTTTTTGTGCCATAAAATATAACATGTGCAAGTTTTTTCTTACACATTCTAGTTTTATTAACACGTGAAACTACGTGATAATGTGCTCATATTATGTAAGTTTTCCGATTGTAAATGTGACAGAAGGCTACCCTTTTCAGCATTTTGTTGTAACAAACCATATGATTCAAAGGTTAATTTAGATGAAAAAAATTAAGAAATACACTCAATCCAGCGCTGAAATGGAAAACCAGGCAGGGGTTGTCCCGGTATTAAAGGACTTGGGGAACAAAAACCTAAAAAGCAGGTACATTATCCATTCATCCATGATCCATGCACCCGTACTTTCCTTTTCAGAGCCTCATCCTCCCCGAGGGGCCAAACTCGAGTTGGGTGCTAGCCTTACGGATGAATACGATACAGCGGTTCAAAATTTAAAAGAGCTGTATGGGTTTTGGGGCCTCATCGGTTTGGCAGGACATCTTCTCGAGAACAACTTACGTGCCATAGCTACAATGTTGTTATTGTGGCATTCCATACCGTTAAAAAAGTTCTCCAATAGTCGCCAAAAAGATGGAAAATAATCATTACTAACATTGTATTTAGTAACACGAAATGCCAAAATGACGGAAAATACCAAAATGACGGAAAATATAGGATAAAAATTATCCATGGGACCACTGCCCTTCTGTCTTTCATATGTTGTTCAAAAGCAACTTGTTTGTTGCGTCTAAGGACTGGTTTGGTATTGTTGTGCTTTGAAAAAGAACTGCTTCTGCTGTGCTGTGAGAATAAGCAGCTGTGAAATAAAGCAGCAGAGTATTTGGTAAACTTTTTTGTAAAAGTGCTTTTGAAAAAAAAAAAAAAAGCAGTATTAAAGTGTTTGGTAAACTTTTATGTAAAACAGATGTGAAAAAAAAGCCGGTTTTTCAAAGCTAGGTTTTGCAGCTTCTTGTTTTTGGCTTTTTTTCACAGTTTTTCACCCAAAACTGTGAAAAAAAGCTGAAGCTGAGTGTTTATCAAACACAAAAACAGCTCCCAGTTTTTTTTTATAGCAGCTTTTTTCAGAATCACCTCAGTACCAGATCAGGTCTAAGTCGCGTCCGACATGAGCACCCCAACAGTTAGCTTAATTCGTCACCAATGACTTTCTTTGATATTCCAAAATTAGAAAGGAGGAAGCAAAATTTTAAAAGTTCAACCGACCCGAACCTGATTCCATTTAATTTTATAAATCATGTACAGCTACGAAAAACATAATACATGTTTTATGCAATAATCATTTTTGGTATTTCTTAATAAAAAAAAGGGCGTGTGAGTCATCATCTGATGATTAAGAACTAAACTAAAGTCATTAGCTGAGATTACAAGATACTTGTAGCTCGATCGGGGACCAGCACAACGGTATTTCGTACTCGATTATTCCTCCCATAATTTAATTGATCAAGAAAATTCATCTATTTTTTTCGTAATTTAATTAATTAAGAACATTCACCTTTATTATAAAGTAATTCATTAAAGACATTAACCTCTCTGTCATAAGTTGATTAATCATTACAGAGTTTTATCGGTTCAAATCATTAATTCAATGAATCTGAGTCACTCTCAATTTTCGTTAATTGTTTTATTCATATATTTTAGTAAATTTTCCATCAATTAATCAGAATTTATTCCTTCCAGTCCAACCAATCTTTCTCTCCAAATTAGGGTTCTTATTAGGCATTTCTAGCCTCCCAAACTACCGAATCCATTCAAAAAAAATCAATTTCTCAATTTTCGGTGCAAATACCGCAGGAAAATATATATGCCTGCACAAATGGAAATAATAATCAATAAATAATACGAACAAACGAAACAATTAATGAATTAATCGACAACGAAACAACTAACCTGTATAAACCAATGAATCCAGAACCCGGTATACGGAAACGGAGTGAACGGAACGAACGTACGGCGAGGGATAGCGGAGAGGTCAAAACTAACGGATAGAGTCAGAGAACGGGTAACTGTGAAACGGAGACGATGAAGAATTGGCCTGGAATGTAATGTGAAACCAAATTTTAACTAATGCGATCTGTTAATTTCGAATTTAATTTGGGGCTGCGATAAAAATGGATGCTTATAAGGAAGTTAATAAGGTCCCAGAAAGCTTGGAGTCGCCAACAAAATGGCGCGCCAATCGATACAAAGTTGCGTATTTATATATACAGAGCGGAAATCATAGCGGCTAAGGTTTCAAATATAAATCCCCTGGCTGTAGTAGCACTTCGGTCAACCAATCGGTCATATCACTCGGGTTTCGCCGGATCCAGACACGTCATCACCCAACGAGCGCCACCTTACCTCGCCGCCGGAAAACTAAACAATTTGCAGAGGAAAGCTCAAAAGCACCAAATCCGACTCTTTTTTTTTAATTTCAAAATTGGGTTTTCAGATTCCTAGTCGGACTTGGACATGGCGGAGAGCCGGCTGGGCCGGGGACAGAAATCAGCTCTTCGCCTCTGGCTGTGGGAGGAGGGGCGGATCAGAGAGGCCAAGGCGCGCCTCACCAGATCGCCTTCGACGCCGCCGATTCTCACAAGCGAGTTCGTCATGGCGGATCTGCGCGCGTTGAGTCGGTTCTGTGAGTACGGTGCGGAGGCGGTGACGTGGGAGTTGTTCTTGTGGAGGCTGCAGCGGAAGGACCCGGGGTGCGTGGTAGGGGAACACATGCAGGTTCGCTTCGGCTGACTGATATTCCGGCCGCTGGGGACGGCGGTGTGGTGGTGGTGGCTGCCGGTGCCGCGCGGTGCGACGGAGATGGATCGGCTGGGGGAGGTTGGGCGGTCGAAGGAGAAACGTACGGACTGGGCGGAGGGAGAGGCGGTGGCGACGTTGAGGCGCGGGGGGGAGACGGCGCGGTTGAAGAAGCTGGAGGAGCGGGAGGAGAAGCCGGACGTGGAGGAGGCAAAGGCGGAGGAAGAGGAATACTGAGTGCTTTGGAACCTTCCGGCGGGTAGAGGGGAGCGGAGGACTGGGCCGCAGCCGCTTGAGGATCTTCTTGAAGTTGCTGCCATGGTGGTTGATCAGGCTAGGCTGAGGTTTTAGAGAGAGAAAGTGAGAAGATTTGGAGACCCGAGGAGAGAGAAAGAGAAGAGAGAGGGTTTTGTTTTTCTTTTCTTGTAAGCTGCGTTTCGCTGCCCAATTCGGCAAACCTAGCTTCACTCGACCAATCTATTTATAGCGAATGGGGAGGAGAAAATGCTTCAGCTCCCGCGATACTTCCTTTCATTATCTCGATATTTTCATTAGTGCCCCTACATTTTTGGTTATTTGTGTTGTGGGCAACACGACTGCGACGCGTGTTATTTAGTGATTATATTGTAATTGATCGTTAACCATATATGCTATTGATTCCATTCCAATGGGTTGGTCCATGCATATAAGCGATGCGGTAGGTCGACAAACGCTACGCATTGTTTAAGAGGTAAATCAACTCACGTTGCATCAAAAGCATATCTTATTTAAGCGATTCATATTTACATTTTTTTTTTATTCTTCAACTCACGTTCAATTTTTAGATTGAACAACATATTTAGTATGCAATTTTTGTCATTTTTTTCGCATTTTAACTACTTACTAATTGAAAAGGAGTAACCCAATTGGACATATTTTTTTTGTCTGCATTCATTGTATGCAACATGAATTTTACAATACCTGATCATAAGATCTAAATGTCACGATAACTCTTTTTCAAAAAATTGAGATAACATTTTATTGGTATTTCCGATCTCATTTTAAACGTATATTTGTTATAAATTTCTTATATGGTAGTATGTGATTTAGACAATATCCATAATCACATTGTCGTTGCATAAATCATAATAATTTATTTTGGGGAATTATTCATTGACTTTTTTGTAGTAACATAAAGTGCAAGCAAGAAAATTAAAAGATTATTCGTTCACGCATGTGAATATTTCTGGGCACAATGAATTTGGATTCGATTTTTATGAAATTAAATGCAATTATTCCTTAAAAGCTTTTGATCAAGTACAAAGCACCTGCCTAATTGTAAATTGTAATTAGCCACATAATCAAAAGATTCCTTAATGAAGAAGGATACAATTGCAAAATGGTTAAATACCAGAAAGTTTGGGGAGTATTCAGCAAAAAGATTAACCTAACCAAAGTGAACAGTTGGGGGTTTGGTTAGAATAAACCGGGGGCGCAGGTTAAGAAAATAACGGTTTCGACGCCAAGCTATGGGCAGTGCAGCCCGCAGAGACTCAGTCACGCGACAACCAATAAAATAATTAAAATATAAAACGACGAAAAACGGGACCGTTTTAACTTTTATCTGACAACTTCTTTAGATAGTGGTCAAGCAGTCTCAGTCTCCTACGTACTTCCGCATTGTCCCGCTGTAAATCTTTTCCAATTTACTAAAAGATATGCCATCCACACATATTTTTTTTACTTCTTATACATTTTTTGTTAATTTATATTATTTAATTTTTTTAAATTCATTCAACAGCTAAAAACTCAAAAAGTATATAAAAAGAAAAAGTTGAATATCACATCCCGTGCTAAATACTACGTATCAGCCCCTTGTTTTCCTAAATTTCTGTTTTTTAATATTTTTTTTTTCTGTTTAGTTTTGCAGAGATATTTTCTGCAATAATTCAATGATTGATTAATTTCTTTTATACGTAGATTAGCTGGTAATTAGTATTAATAATTCCCTAACCCATTGATTTGAATAATTTTATAACACATCATTTACACGGTACGTTCAAGTGTATTGGATTGTGACATTTGAAGTTGGAGTTTGAATTTAGAGCATACCCACGTAAATAACACACGTGGCATGATTTAAATGAAATAATAACAGTCACCACCTAATGGGGACATTGAACAAATTCGCACTCTTTGAAGTTACATAGAACATGGTATCACTTTGCTACACAAGATTTCAGCATGAGTAATGCTTAAGGGAACTTTCTTAAAAGGGAGCTCTTGATAGCTTTTTTATCACCTTATGTTTTTGACACAATACTTTATAATATTGGTAGGAGAGTAAACGTAAAACTGTGAGGTAATAAAAAGTTTATGAAGAGTTTCACTTTAGACAAAATTCCCTTAGCATGTCTTGTGTAGCATATATGAAAGTGAGATTTTATATGGATTATATGTCACCAATATTATAAAATATTGTGTTAAAACATAAGATAACAAAGAGTTCATAAAGGGTCTGACTTTTGAGATAGTTAAGCATGTGTAAGTATGAACAACTGATTCATGTCATTGGTTCGTAAACAAAAAAACATGGGATGTATTGTTATTAATTCATGAAATTATGTGGAACACTGCTTGGCTGCTGTAAATTTAGCAACAACTCTTGTTTTTACTCAATCATAAATAAACACGTATTTAAATAATTGAAATTATGAACCCAAAGTGCTGTTGAATTACATGTTATTACGTGTCCCTAGGTGACCCCAATTATATGAAAATACCGAACTATAAAGTAAAGTTCATGTAACAATTGAAAAAGGGCGGTTTATTAAAATATTTTAATTCAGTTGAGATCTACAAAGTGTTTAGAGAAGAGCATGTGATGTCTTTTGATTATTCCGAGAATGGAATCGATCTGGGGACCCTGCAAATGGAAGAGAAGGTGTATGTGGCACACTTGCATTGTGCTGGGGGGGACACATGGAGCTCTCACCATTCTTGCAGTGCATACGATGCTCCTTGTCCTCACAGTTGTCCAAAAAGCGGTGCTAAAATCATGTAAGCGCTTACAGCAAAAGCACTTAAACCCCTATTATTTATTTCTGAAGATTCTCAACTCTGTTTTACTATTTGCACACACCAACTATACGTACCCCATAACGCATAAATTTTTATGAGTACAGAAACACAAACTCCACAGTATATTATTTCATGTTTCATAATAAAAACAAACGATAAAATTGATAATTTAACTTTTAAATTATTATTTAAATGATACAAGATAGATACGTGTGGTTGTGTTTAAGTATTTTGAAAAATTATCACTTTAATACGTGTGGTTCTGTTTAAGTATTTTGAAAAATTATCACTTAATACTACGGTCCAGTAACATTTATCTTCGTATGTAACTGCAAGCTTTTAGATTTAATTCTCGTCAAAATGAATTGAAACACATTTTATCTACTCCATTATAAGGATTAACCCCTTTCCACCCCTTAAGTGTAGAGTCATATGCCCAATAAACCAAATGGGTTGTTTGACAAATCGTGCAAAGATGTCGACATAACCAAGTGGTCTAATTACAATAAATATGGCCGCTTAGTAATAGAGTCTAATGATATTCATCTTTATTTGTAAGTGAGATGTTTTAGATTTGATTCTCGTCATAGACAAATTTAAATCACCTTATTGCTAGTTCATTAGAGACTTAACCACTCACTACATCCTTAGTATAGATAATATCGATATTGGACTAAAAAAATTACAACAAATATGACAAAGTTGAAATCAAATAGTGCAATTTATAAAGGGTGGACTGAAATGTTTTTATCTGTTTTAGAATTGAACTAGGATTTTCTATCCTCCTCTTTCCATCTCATTCCATCCCCTTTTTTCACACTTTTTATTTTGTCTTTCTCTTTTATAAAAAATAATTATAAGATGTTAACGTTCAAATAGAAAGAAAAGAAATAGAAGAGAAAAAAACAAAGAAAAAAGAATCTTCCCCTTTGGAATTTACTGAAGACTAGCCCTATTTTTCGAAGTGCGGAACACCCCAGACTTTGGCAAATAAAATAGAATACAATTTTATGAAAACAAAAAGAAAATCAAATAATGGAAGTAGGAAAACGTTTTAGGCACTCATGACTTATGGAGCATGATACATTCATGCCTTCTCACTTTCATAGTAAGTTTGCTAGTGAGTAGTGACTATATAATTGTCTTCTTTTTCACTTTGATCAAAAGAAAAAGGAAATCAAATATTCTTTTTCTTTCTTTTTGCTTAATTTACTTGTCGACCTCACAAAATACGTTCTAAAGAAATATTTATTAAGAGTACTATTTAAATATAATACGTGTTCTTTAGGAGTCTTTTCTTTTTCCATCCAATCAAACAGAAGTAACACTTTTCTTTTTCCATCTAATCAAATAGAAGTTGCTTTCTTGGTCCCACAGATGGAGAGACGACCGAAGAAAAGCACTGTTCATTGCCCATTCATACATCATTTCATACTTTTCACTTTCTTCTTTTTTTTATATATATATATATATATATATATATATTATTAAATGTTACAAGTGTTGGAGATATAAACTTTTAAATTATTTGATTTTATGAATTTAGCCCGTCTAATGTTTATGACAATTAGTATTATGTAACACAGAAGGAAGGCGAAATGGATGGCCATACCTTGAATGAGAACCACCGGTCTCTATATTATTGTATACTTTTGTGAAACATAATATTAATGAAGAAAAGAAAATAAATTTGTAGCTCAAGTGGTCACCCCATTAAAAATCCTAACTAGGTTCAATCTTTTTCATTTTCACTATCGCTTGTTAAATGAAGAAAAAAAAATTCAGAAGAAAAATTCTTTGTAATTGAATAACGAAAATGACATTGATATTAATCAATAATACACATACACTAAAACCCTACATTGCTAATTTATTTTGTTAATTAGTTTCTTTTGTTGGCTTGTAAATGTTTTTAATGTACTGTTGTAGTCCAAATTAGATATTTTGATAGATGAAAAACCACTAATAATACAAAAAATTAAGTACAATTAACTTATTTCATACATTTGCACGTACATTTTCATGGATAAGGAGGCTGCAGTACTACCCGTGTAGTACCAATAGGGTCGTTGGACGAAGCCAATAAAGGTCCACTCAGATCATCAACTACTTCCAGTCAAGTAATTTCGATCTTAAGCTGCAGCCTGCAGTTGTATATATTTGAACAAATATATTGTAAAGATGAAGAAGAATATAATGAAGTAGAGAGAGAAAGCTGTTCTTTTGCTTCTCTTGTATTATTTCTCTTTCACTTTTCTACTTTTTCACTACAATGAAATTTTTGTAACTTTAAAATTGTGATACATCATGGCATATGATATCATCGGCATCACCAATTTGGGTATGAACCATAACATAATAAGTTCGGTAGTATTATTTTCGGTTTTCCTCCGCTAAAAGAA